AGATACGAAACAAATTGAGTTTTAAATCTTTCAGCTCACCTGATGGTATTCAGTTTTCATCTTAGAGTCGGAAAAGTCATATGGTCCATTACTCTCACTTATAATGTCATGGCTTCTGTTATGATACTTTTTTTGTCAGCTTATCTTTTAAGTTTTGCAATATGTAGGCGGAGCTGAAAGACTTATTGTTGATGCTGCTGTTGAACTTGCCTCCCGTGGACATAATGTCCATGTCTTTACAGCCCACCATGACAAAAATCGCTGTTTTGAGGAGACTCTTTCCGGTTAGCTTCTTGCTTTATTCCTTCTTGCAATATTTTTGTAGCTAGATCTTTCTATGCTCTCTTGTATACTCATTCTCTGTTTCATTCGTTGAAGTTGGCAAGGCCTAAAATGGATAAATTGGCTGAATGTGTTGAATTTTCCGTAGGCATGATTGGTTAATAAAAAACACTCACAACACCACACATGTTTTAAGCGAAAACTAAATAAAATAATATCTTGAAATGAAGGTAGAAATGTCATTTTAGCCAAAAAAAAAAAAAGTAACTCCAGGAGTGTTTTTTCATTGAAATGATTAAGCCAGCTTAAATAGTTAAATAAGTCAGCAAGTGTAGTCAGTGGTCGGTGAAATATATGGCTGATAAGCTGAAAAAAGGTATAGCAAACATGCATGATCTAATTGTTTTTAATTGCACAGGTACCTTTCACGTAAAAGTATATGGCTCATTCCTACCCCGAAATATATTTTATAGACTTCATGCAATCTGTGCATATTTGAGATGCATTTTTGTTGCTCTATCGGTGCTGTTTCTATGGCCATCATTTGACATTGTACTAGCCGATCAAGTCTCTGTTGTCATTCCACTTATGAAGCTGAAGAAGTCAATGAAGGTAGTAGATTTCAAATTTGAATTACATCTGGAGTGTGTGGCATGATAATTTATTATCTTATACCTTACGCAGGTTATTTTCTACTGCCATTTTCCAGATATGTTACTTGCTCAGCATACGACCATGCTCAGGAGGATATACCGCAAGCCTATAGATTTTTTAGAAGAAATGACTACAGGTTCATTTTTGTGTGTGCCAAAAGTGCTGTTTAACTTTACATTTCGTTTGGAATAACATATGGTGCAAGTGCTTTTATTATAAGGCTTTCTCATTTCAGCATTTAAAGTCTTTTTTAAAATACACCATTAGCATTGAAAGTGTTGTTACAAACACACTTTTCCATTCTCCGTCAAATGTTTATGTTTTGAGTAAACGCACCCCCCCTCCCTCTAAAAAGCACTTATTCTTTGAAAAAAACATCCCAAACACACTCCTAATGGCCATTCCTTTCCTAATCTACATCCAATGTACATTCTGTTGTTTGTTTGTTTTCAAGCTTCTTTAGTTTTCTTAACCCAAAATAAGTCATCCACTAATCCCAAACGCTCTTTGTTTTCTGACTGTGTAGGTATGGCTGACATGATATTAGTCAATAGCAAGTTTACGGGTTCTACTTTTGCAAATACATTCAGGCATCTAAATGAGCGTGGAATTAGACCAGCCGTGCTATACCCCGCAGTGAATCTTGACCAATTTGACAAACCTAGTGAAGACACCAAGTACGAGGCTTCTCCATCTCTGCTTACCTATTAATATGTATGATATCAACACATAAATTCAAATGCCAACTGAATCTTCGTAGAACTTTCTCTGAGTTTTATATAACATTGTTTATCCACTATATCTAGGTTATTAAACTTTCTATCGATCAACCGCTTTGAAAGGAAAAAGAATATAGAATTGGCAATATCTGCCTTTGCCATGCTCTATAATGATCATGAAGGGGGTGGGAATCAATATACTAATATGGCTGATGCTTCCTTGACTATTGCAGGTAAAGGTTTTGTTTATTTCTTGCTACAAGTTTTTAGTGAAATAATAAAACCAAGCTTTATCTGGGCCTCTGGGGGTGGATGCATTCAGGTTCTAGGTCTTTGAAAAGGTGGAACTGGTAAACTTGGTCCGACTCTGTGTCCGATCTGGTCCGGTTCTTGGGATGGTTTCAGACTGATCACAGAACCCAATTTTAAACCATTACTGGTCCATTCTGATCCTAGGTTTGACTGGTTCCAGTCCGGACCATTTTTCCGGTTCAGTATCTGGGTAAACTCACCGTTCCCGGTCCTGTCCGACTGATTGATTGATTGTTTTTAACCTCTACTGTTTTTCTACTGTTCTAGGTATAGCTTGATTGTTGTTTAACCTCTACTACGAGATAAGATGTTATTCTGTGGGCTCTCTTTTCATTCCCATTTTCGCCCCAGGTGGATTTGATGAGCGATTAAGAGAGAATGTCGATTATCTTGAGGAGCTGAAACTGCTGACCGAAAAACAAGGTGTTTCGGAACGGGTCAAGTTCGTCCCTTCTTGCTCTACTGCTGAAAGGAATGCACTTCTCTCTCAATGCCTATGTGTTCTTTATACACCAAAGGTGTGTCCATGCTCAATTATTTATGATCTATTCAAACACACAAACCTTGACATTGATTTATAATCTTGATATTTTTGGCGGTAGGATGAGCATTTTGGCATTGTTCCTTTGGAAGCAATGGCAGCGTATAAACCTGTAATAGCATGCAACAGTGGTGGTCCTGTGGAGACAGTAGATGACAGTGTGACCGGTTTTCTATGTGATCCTTGCCCACAAGAATTCTGTTCAGCCATGGCTAAATTCGTCTCAGATCCTAGCCTGTCTGTGACGATGGGCCTTAAGGCCCGTCAGCACGTTTCAGAGTCCTTCTCAACCAAAATATTTGGCCACCGTCTCAATGCCTATCTCATTGATATTGCTAGAGGGAAGGAGGAATGATGATCTGCCATGACCTCCTGGGGATTATGACGTCACTGTGGTTCGACTTATGTTATTAGCAACAAATGTTCAACTTTTTCCAATTTCAAGGAATTTTGTTTTATTACACTACTGAACTCGTTTTCTTCGTGGGATAGATTGAGATATGATTGATAAGTTAGGTTATAAAATATGTGATACTATAAGATTAACCAATCAATATACTCCGTATATTTACTCGAACTGATTATAATTCCATCCTATATTTAATTGATAGAGAATGATAAGTTATTGCTTTTTATTTAACCCAGTACACAGGTCACAGAGCCACATATGGAAGAAAAGTAGAACTTTTAGTTTAACTTTTTATAATTTGGTGAGGCCTGGAACCCACAAGGAAAAAGAAAGTCTTTGGTGTCTATCAACCCGTTGGCCTATGCCAGCACTATATAGGAAACTTGATTTATTTTAGATTTTCTGATTATCTTTCTTCAAATTTGTAGATTAATTTGAGCATAAAGCATTAAAGCATATTTTCCTATTTTCGAAGCACATAGAGACTGTTTCCGAGTGATCCATGATGAAAATCGCGCCGAAAATTGTATTGATTGACTGCTGCTTAGACAGTTTAGTGAGTCATTTGCTTTATTCCATCATATTCTAAAGTCAAAAAATAGCGAGTCTTTGGTTCCATTGAAAATGATGGAACATTGTTACCAAATATCCCCTAGCTTTATTTTGATTTTCAATTTTGATAATTTATTAAAGCAGAATACTTATTTTCCCTTTTTTGGAAGAACTTTATGTTACCAATGTTCCCGAGCTCTCACCCATGAAACAATGTCTAAAACTAAAATATTAGGGTCCTCATATATGACTATATGAGTAAATAACTAGAGAATAAAAAAGGTAGCAAAAGCCACTTTGTATGGATCATTGAAACTAGTGCTGGACTCGGGCCGGTTCGGGCCCGGTTCGGGCCTGGGCCAGGAAAGGGAGGCCCGAGTCCGAACCGCCAGTGGCCGGTTCCGGGCCAAACCGGGCCGGGCCGGGCCGAACCGGCCCTATTAATTTTTTTTTTTGTTCTCCTATTTAATCCCCTACCCCTCCCCCTCAACCCCAAACCATCCCAAACCACCTCAAATGGCCCAAAATACCTAATCCAACCTAAAACTTAAAAAAAATTCAAAAAAAAAAATTAAAATCCGGCCCGGACCGGGCCCGAACCGGCCGGGCCGGTTCACCAAAACCTGGGCCCGGGCCCGAACCGCCCAGCAGCCGGGCCGGGCCGAACCGAACCGGTGGACCCACCGGGCCCCGGGCCGGGCCAAACAGTAACCGGGCCGGTTCCGGGCCGGGCCGCCCGGCCCGAGTCCAGCACTAATTGAAACCTGACTGAAAGTTAGTAGTTCAATGCAATTTGGTAATTTGTTAGACAAAATATAGTGCAAGTGCATATAGATATATTTTGTTCTTATAAAATCGGGTATAGAGTAAAATAGTAAATACTTTATCGGTACTTCGTGAAGTCTTTAAACAATACTTGATGTTTTATCAATCTGGAGTCTGGACAATGCACATTTCAAAAATTAGTAACATTATAATGTGTTCACATTTTAGAGTGTCTCAAACTAGAACAAATTCTTAAACTCTCGGACCCCGTCTCCTCACACTATAGATATATTTCATGATTTTGAAGTTGTGTCTTTCTTTTAAACGAATCTGGACAATGAACTCACAATCGCAAGAACACAGTCTTCTTAATGCATGGCTCCTCAATTATACTTGGAAGATTACTTAACAAATAAAGGAGAATACTTTGTCTTAAAAGTCAAAACTAACCAGAGCATTATATCAAGTCATCAACTCAAACTATCCTTCCATTAGTCCATATTTTCGCCAATCTGAAAAGGACTATGAGTAGAAAGGATCAACCTCAAACCATTAGTTAATGAAGTGACTTTATCTACCCCTTTTGTGGAGCATAAAAAGGCTCCACAACCATTACTGTGACTTATAAATCACAAAGCTCTGAAGTCTGAATCAAAGCTAAGGGGTTGTGCCATTTGACATAGTCAATATTTGCAGCGATCAATCCAGCCACAAGTCCATAACATGAGGCCCGGGTTCCAGACCTGGCCAGTTTTTTGCATGTAGACTAAACTGGTTTTCTTTTCCGATTCCTCCAAAATAAGCCCAGAACAGACAGGTTGTGTTTTTTACAATATGCTAAGAAACTAGAACTGACCCAAAAACTGGAACTGGACCAGGTATACCCGGTTGCAGTTCCGATTTCACCCTTTACTTGACTCAGAATAATGCATCTGAAACTGCACCAGAACTGGATTGAGTCCACCCCTAATAACAAGAAGCTAGCTTCCATATATTATATGTAGTATTATATATAGATTTGCAATCAAACTAAAACAATAACACCCGCTTCAATAATCCCCGGTGACATTTGAAGAGCTCGTGTAAGTAACTACAAATTACTGTGTAAAAAACTCAAACGAATACATTCCTAAGCGGCATGTAGCACCTTGGCGGGGATTTATAGCTTATTTTCATCTACGCTAGGTTAACTTGACCCGTATTTCAAAAGCTCCCAATTGAAGGGCTGGAAGACATAGAGCACCTCCGGTGAGCTCTTAAACAGCAAAGCTACACAGACACATATGGCGGCAATCGCAACCATAGATAGCATCACCGGCCTGTAAATTGCAAGTGATACTCTTCTACACCTTCCATACTCCCATTTCTGATCACACTGCCTGCAACCTCTCTTCGTAGTGACCGTTTTTTCTGTCTGAAAACTTGATGTAATGCTTCTATGATTGTACCCACCGCCGCCTATTGTTTCTTTCTGCTTCCCGCTGCTATTTGGTGTCTTATCCATTGGGATATCTAAGACAACATCAGTGTTGCCGGGTAATTTCTCCTTTGTTGCTTTCCTCTGGATTAGATGAATGTATGAATAGTGGCCACGTAAGCATGCGTAGTCATTTGGTGTTAATCCCGTACTATCACGTGCGCTCTTCCATGCTTCCATGCCAACCTAGAGAATAAACATCTTCACTACCTTTCCTTATACATGACACAAACCTATAACTCAAGATAAACATCAAAGAAGAATATGGGGCAATAGTGATATTTTTTATGCCGTGATCCCGCTAAAAAATGTCCAATCTTTTTAAAATGGGAAATTTGGCATTTATATTCCATGCTTATCTTAATATTTGAGTTAACATCTCAAGTTTTGTTTTCTTTGATTTTGCACAATTGCACCCCAGAGTAGGGTGCAATGTCAACCATTGAGGAGAGGAATACCTGGGTTGCAAATATCACCCTCCCCCCCAAGTATAACTCAAAAATAAGTCACACTTCATCCAATGAAACTTATCTTGTATGTCATTTGCAAAGAAAAGAATGGAACAAACAAGACAAATATGACAAGTTTAGTTAAACAAACATAAAAGTATGTAATATATGAGAACAATTTCATGACTTCTATAGTTGCGCGTAGCCAAAACTAACATGGTGTACCATTTGGCCAAAACATGACTTTTTTGGGCAGGAGAGTTGTTTTGGGCGTTGAAGTCAAATCTTAAAGTCCCGGGACTATTAATTGGTTGTTTATAAAAAAGCAGGGGGTCAAATGCATAAATGGTATCTCAACTATTGGTATTGTTGCATTTTGGTACCTTAACTTTTAAATGAATCAAACAGTACCTTAACTATATATAAATGTTTCAATTTGATATTTTAGTCAAATTTGCGGCCACAAAATTACACGTGGCGGCCGAAATTTTATGCGCAAAGTCTACTTCACCTTACTTTTGTCCATATAATCACTATAGGGTGACTCTACACATGGAATTTTGATCGCCATGAAGGACTTTTTTGCCACAAATTTGAATAAAATCTCAAGTTGAAACATTTATGTATAGTTATGGTACTGATTTGATTCATTTAAGAGTTAAGGTACCAAAACGCAACAATACCAATAGTTAAGGTACAATTTATGCATTTGACCCAAAAAGCAGGTTAGAGTTAAACTAATTAATGTGTGTTGCCAGCCAATCATAAGAGGTGGCACACCATTGCAATAGGAAAAACCGGAAATGAGGAGAAAATCACCTGTCCTGGATCACTGGTTAAGGCATCTAACATATTCTCCAATCCATCTTGACTGGCAACAATATGGAGTGGCGTAAGGCCTCCAACTACTACTGCATCCGGTCTAAACACATAGAGGCTACTTCGCTTTTTGGACAATTCTTTTTTGTCACACACTATATCTGGACAGTATTGTAGGAGAGCCTCAACAATTGATCTGTGTTTTCCACTTATAGCTCTGTGGAGAAGGCCAATATCCCTCAATGCTACCTCAACAGACGAGTATTCTCCTTCATCCTCAAGGCCGGCAAATAGAACATCCAAAAGCTTCTTAACTACAGCACACCAATCACGGTCAACTGAGAACTCTATTAACCACCTAAACCGGTCAAATGGGAAATGACGATTCATGTTGGAAACCAATCTGATTTTGGCATGAGATATGCGAAGTAGCCAGCCCATCTCGTGTATGAAGTCCAAAGCTCGGCTTCTAGCTTCTAATTTCTCATTTTCCTGTTGGGACCCAAGACACTCAGTTTCTGCAACCTCGAGGATGCTCTCCAGTGTACATATTTCTGAACACACATCCTCCTCAGCAACTATAAATGGAAAGAAGCTGCTGCTAAGACCATGGTCTTCTACCTACACAGAAAATTAGAAACAATGAGAATAAGATTTAAAAGATTCCCATTGATGAAGAGTATGCCTTACCTGTAAATATAAAAACAACAAATTAATATATAAGACTTTGGACTACTTAAAAACTTAGTCTAGATGCGATGTTATACTGTAAGCATTAAAGCAGTATGTATGCCCTGAAAATAAATTGCATGCTCCAGATAAGGAGTAACGTAAAGGGTGAATTCCACTACGAGAAAAATTGCACTGTCCATACAAAGTGTCAGGCGGTTAAGAGTGTGGGTCTCTATGAGATAAAATGTCAAGTCATCTGAAAGACTGATCGTGAGAGGGATAAAACCCCAAATCCAAGTTCTTAAAAGTTAATACCTAATTTACAAACAATAAGTTTGTACGTGGTTCAGAAGAAGGGAGATGAGGGGAGAGGAGAAATGGAGGCGATTAAAAAAAAGAATGTTTGGTTTAATGATTGGGTGGAGAGAAATCAGTATCTTCAATAACAACATTAAAATGATGTAATCCAAATGATATTTGTTTTAATTAAAAAGAAACATTAAACTACTAGTAGTCTAGTTAGTACAACAATAAGAAAATAAAATATTTATGGTGAAAAGAAGAAAGTGAACGAAAATAAGGAAAAAAATTACTCCCTAAAATCCCCAGCCAAACACACAGCTTCACTTTCCTACCCCTCTTTCAAAACCCTCCAACCAAACAAAGGCTAAACGACAACATAACAGAACCTCGACGAATCCCCGTCCAGTGACATTTGGTATGCTGAACGGTAAGCTAAGGGACTGGATCTCATTATGATCCACTAATGAATTAGTTCCCACCAAATCATCACAATTTCCTTGGACCAGATATTTCCCTTCTAGTGCACATAGAAATCTGAAAGAAAAAGATAAGGGAAACAAAGTAGTCAGTGCAGCCATGAATGAAGAAAGAGAGACTAAAATTTCTATAAGAAAAACAAATTTGTGTACCTTGTGCTGGGCCGTAACAAGTTGAAGCCTCTAACTGAAAATTGAGCGCCTTTGGAGACAGGAACAGCAACTGGTTTGACACTTGATATCCGGCAGCTGCTGTAGCCTTTAACTGGTAGAGGCGTGTCTAAAACAACCTGACCTGTGAGAGAAGAAAATCAATATCAGTCATATGTGTGCATCTCAATGTTTGAGTACAGTATTAAGACTTGGGATTCCATCGTAAAGTCAACCTAATTGGACTAGTAGCCCATGACCTTACCTGTTGGTTTATATTTTTTTTATTTTCAATTTGGGTTTACTTAACATGTATGTGCCATGTGAAAAATCTCAAGAAATTGCGAAAGCTCAAATGAAGAATTAGCAAGTTGTCAAAAGCTTTAAGAAGATGTGTATTTATGCTTCAAAACTAAAATTCATTTAAACAAGCAAAACTTTAATGCTTTCGGCACCATGAAGTTTCAGCATAGCATTAGTCCTTCACTCTTTTTATACACACGCACAGGTGGAGGACCAGCATTTCAACAGAGATATAAATACGGCGTATTTATTTCTAACATGCAAAATATAACTTAACGTAACACTTATTTTTAGGACAAAGCCTATAACTTATTGTTAAGACTTGAGGTTCCATCCTAAAAGGTCAACCCTGATAGGAGGAGTAACTCATGTCTTAATATAGCACTTTATTGATTCAAACTTTTCCGGTGTGGGATTCTAACACCCCTCCTCACGACCAGAAACTTCGTCTGGATCGTGCTGTCAGTCATTTTTTCGTCGGTTCGCCATTGTCATTTTTTTTAATCGTGTCGTCATTTTTTCATTAGGGGGCCCACACCATGGTTATGGATCGGTTTGGCTTTGATACCATGTTAAGACTTGAGGTTCCATCCTAAAAGGTCAACCCTGATAGGAGGAGTAACTCATGTCTTAATATAGCACTTTATTGATTCAAACTTTTCCGGTGTGGGATTCTAACACTTATTATCAATAATTTTTACTAATAGTTATTATACTGATATTAGTGATAGTAAAAAATAACTGATAAAAAGTTATTGTGAAAACTTGTATACAGATGCACCAAAATAAAATATGATACCATTGAAAACAAAAGCTACACGGTTTTGAACTCGAGTATAGATCCATCCTGTTCTCCAAAATGGATCAGAAGACGAATCAAGGAGCTTCCTTAAACTAGAGCTGAGTTCACAGCAAAGCTGCAAAACAATAAAACAGACAAATTTGCAGCAATATGAGAACATAGCAATTGGAGCTGCAATAAGGAACTAACAAATGATCAAAAGCTCAAGTTATTAAACAAGCCCATGCTATGTACAAAACTAAAGGCTCATTTGGTGAGGGTAGAATTTGGTTGAAATGTATCATGGGCAAAGATTATAGCAGATGTTTAATTGATGAATGAACTGCCTGAAAATGAATTTAAAATCTAGATTATTTTACAATAAATTAAAGGCAATAGTATCTAAAAGATGAGGGGAAAGTGTCATATCTCTTAATTCCTCACAAATACTTTTCTCTACTCTTTTTTTTCTAAGAATTCGGCCAATGAATTCAAATAAGTTCGTATTCTGGAGGAATTCTGTAATTAGCGCTACCCTACTCCCAAATGTGCACTAGTATAATTCAGCTGACAAGCTGACTTTGCATATCAACAGAGATTAGCTACAAATGTTTCTGGAAAGAAAAATGAAAAAGAACAAACCTCCTCCCATATGGACTTGTCCATCCGCAAATATATTGTCAGTATGACACAGCCAGGTCTAATATAGCTCTCGATTTCAGTAGGACTGTTCGACAACCAATCAAGAATCTACAAAAAGAGTAATGATAACAACAAAGTTGGGAAATGACATCAAATTAAACTGATGTAGTAAGCTATTAAAGACTTTCTACAGAAACAGCATGGCAGTTGTTACCTGTTTCCGCAAGGCGAGAGGGAAATCACTAGGATCTTTTCCAAAAAGTTTAAATACAATCCGATCAGTGCGACTCTGAATCAATTTAAACTCATAATGAGAAAGATGGAAAGTTGATATGAATCAATTGGATATTATTATTAATATCCAACATAAAACATTTGGGAGTACATATTGAAGTGTTTCTTTTCTTAATTATTGCTATTGAAATAGATTCAAGAGGCAGCCTTTTTTATCATCAATTTAAAAGTTATTATACTTTTATCTTTTTATCTTCTTTATCTTTCTAATGTTCTTATGTTATTTTAATCTTTTATCTTTCTTATGTTCTTTTATAGTTTTATCTTATACTCCCTCCGTCCCCGAAACAACTTCCCGGTTTGACCTACACACATATTAAGGAAATAAACTTATCAGGGGTAAATTTTACTGTTTTGACACTGTTTCGACACTGTTTGGCACTGTTTTGATGTAGAAAACTTGCCATTTAAGAAAATGGGAAGTTAAATTAGGGACATCCAAATGAGGAAAGTGGGAAGTTGTTTCAGGGACGGAGGGAGTATTTGTCTTTACCTTATCTTTTTATTTTCCTTATATTTCTTTCCTTTGTGCCTCCGATATCATGTGGATTGATTCATGTTAGGCGACCCCAAAATCTTTTGGGAATAAGGCTTGGATGTTGTTGTTGCTACTGTATAAAAGTTATTATACTAAATTTTAATCTTTTAACAAGTAAAAAAAACTGGTCATAATTTCAATGTAAATGATCATTATTGTCATCCGAGGGCACAAAGAAACTATGATGGAAAACATGAAAATTGATTTTCACCTTCCTGACCTGAGCTTCGCCACTGGAATTAGAAGGTGAGAGGCTTGATGTTGGACCAGTATTTCCACTGGTGCGAGTGGAGCTTGGCTTATGAGGATCTTGAGAAACCCATAAAGGATAACCAGTAGATATGTTCGCGGGAATTTGACAGGGGCCAGAACTCTTTAATACTACTCCCGTACAATCTTGAGAGTCATTGTACACATCATTCAAATCGATGTCATGCATCTTTGTCTGTTTGGCCAAATCATCCGTCGCAATTCCATTTTCAGGCTGTACAGAAGGATTTCGTGAAACTCCAGATTCAGCATTAACTGCATTGGTAACCTTTCCCATCACTCTTGATGGCGATAAGTTGGCAGAATTCCATACCAGTTGGTGAGAGTCCTGCAAATAATCTATTAATAATCAGAATTTGAAACCAAAAGAAATTTATAGCTTCTCTTGAGCTCTGAATAAAGTTTTACACCTTTTCTGGAGATCCAGTAGATGTTCCTGGATTCTGAAGATTCTGTGATACTGGTAATAATGTCCCAGGAAGGTTCCTTTCATCATTTGAGCCATTCACTCTTGATAGGTTCCTTAGTAGATGAGACAAAATATCCTGATCCTTTGTTTGATCTGAGCTATTTGCTGCACCTAAAAAAGGCAACGTTATTTGGTCAACCATTCATCACGTCACAAAAAAACTTAGGTTTACTAACAAAGTGGGAGTTCTATAGTTTCTCGACGTGAAAGATAGGTCACTTATCAACCAAGGACCTGGAAGATGAAATGCATCAATTTAAAACATGAATGGTTAAAATTCTTAATTTAAGACAAAGGAATTCATAATTTATTACCAACTACTTTTGTGATAATTCTCAACAAAAAATTTCACGGATTATTTATTAAATTTAATAACGAATTTATTAAAAATAATTATTTTTTAATAAATTAGTTTTTATGCATCAATTAGTTTCATGTCTTATGTATAACGTCTTATGCAAATCGGTAGTTTTTATCTAATACGGAGTATGTCTTATGTATGAATAGTCATAGCAGAGTGATGCATCCAACATTGGCCAAAGCTGGCATAACATGAATGGTCAGGAGAAAGTCATAGAAGTCAATCTAAAATGCATGCCGTTGGGAAGTTGTTCATCCCTAGGATGCCCTTACCAGTTTTTATCTATTCAAGAATTTAATGTTTTAAATTTAGTTTTAGCAGCAACACTTGATTGAATGTACTCACGGCATCCATCACCCATGGATGAAAAGCAGCTCATATAGTAATGATATGTATATTCTGCCCAATAATTTTTTATCAATTTATAACTTAATTGAGTTTTGACATCAGAAAATACTCGAAGAAAAAGGCACATTGACTAATGAATGTTACAACGTAAGAGTTATTAGTAAACCGGGCAAGGAATGCTAAGTTGGATTAACACTTACCGTGCAAATTGGTTAGTATTCTTAGCAGACTAATTAATAAATAATTAGTTCCCTGCTCATCATTCATGGGTATTCCATTGGCTACATTTTCTGGATGCGTCTTTCTTCTCCGGCTGTTGTGTCCAGCTAGGCGTCTACGGCAACTTCGCTTCCCCTCGTCAAATTCTTGAAGAATATGAAACCTGCTCAATTGTAATAAGCATTTATATATTTATGTTTTTTATTTGCATTTATACATTTATGTTAAAATATGAATGTCATTGTCACCATCATCTTAATCCAACTATGTGGGACCATTGGCAAGGAATTTATACGGTCAATTAATTGTCTAAAAATTAGATAACAGTATAACACTATATATCCAAGAAAAAACAATATTTCCAAAATTTTACTGGTGGGAGCGTGAGAGCAATAGGGATAACAGAGTGCTTTTTGGAGATCGAGATGTACCCACATATGAAAGATGTGTCTGTCAGAGAGAGTGGAAACAGTTTGAAATATTTCAAAAGAAAAAATCACGCTTACTAATGAAAGCATCAAACTGGGAGAGACTGTTTGGGATGACTTCTTTCAGACAATAAGTGGTTTTAGAGGGAACAAAGTACTTTCACTTGAAAAATTAAGTGTTTGGCAGGAAAATGGACAGGTGCTTGTTATTTGATAAGTACGTCAAACAGGCTCTGAAAGGCTTAAAAACACAACAATGGGAAAGCACATATGCCATAAGTTATCCAAACATGCTCCATGGCTCTTCTTTTAGATGTATTTTCCAAAGCAGACCTACACTTACTTGCCAAAAGCTGATAACTGGACATGACACAATAAAGATCCTAGCAGTTACCATATCCAAGCTTCTCATAAACTAGTACTGAAACTTCCACACAATTTTTATTATTTATTTATTCTTTTCTTGGGGGGTGGGGGGTGGAAGAGCATAATGTAGCACAAGTGCAAACAAAATTTAAAAAAATCTCAAAGCACTGAACAAATACAGACCTGCTGCACTGCTGACAGAACCGCTGCATAGCATTTCCTACAAGGGCTTCGGTGACCTTGGAATGCGCTGCACATACTTTATGTCTCCTATGATAATCTTTAGCACTGGTCAAATCCAATTGACAGTCATCCACCTGACAAACAGCTCGGGTAGATGATCCACCTGCAAGTTTCGTCTTCTTTCCACTCTTTCCTTCCCATTTTTTCATCTCATCCTCTGTGATAGGGAACACTTGACCACCAAGCTTCAAATTAAGTGACTCACATTCATTCGAATCTTCCACCCTCCTCCGCTTCTCTATTTCCATCCTCCTCTCTTTCTCATTTAATACTACCAATTCAGCGGAAACAGATGAAAGCCCGTTATTGTTTGCCACCGGAACCTGAGACCCGTCAGGGAATAACTGTCTACTCCTACAATCTGACGGCAAACAATTCAAAGGGATGGCAGTGAACCTATCACCATCCCAATTCCAATCATTCAAGTCCCACTCCACACTTCTTTTCCCTAGCGCCTTTAAATCAGGAACAACTGGGCCATAAAGATTATGACCCTTCCCACCAATCCTTGATTCCATGGATCAACAACACTTCTCTACCAGGTTAATCCCCACAAATCCGACAATTCTTTTTTTTTACAATAACACAGAATTACAGAGAAACCCAAAATCACCAAATGATTTACAAGGATGAACCAATTGAGCTAAAACTACCTCATAAGAACAACCGTACAAACTGAAGAACAAAGCCCAGACGCATCCATTGAACCAAAACAAGAGCTACTCAAGTAGCGATTAATTGTTCAAATCAGCTCAGCTACATTTTCCCCTGAAGAAAACCCTTGCTTTTTTCTTTATACTCTAAACCACCAAAAAACGATTCTGGTTTCGACAACCCAAAACGCTTAGACGTATTTACAATTGTGTCTTTGTGTGTACGCAGTATTTTGCGGGTGTAGTTAATTTACTTGGCTTCCAGCGGACAAGCTCAGTAATTGTAGGAGATGGAGAACTAACAGAAAATGAATAAATTACAAAAAAGAATTAAAAACCGAAACTTGCCGATAAAGCAGGCGCTGAGATTTGATCGGAAAACGTGTAGCTCTCCACGACAGATAGCCAGCGATATAGGAATTTCAGACCCACAACTTAAAATTTAGAGAGAAAGAAATCCAAGAACGTTTCTTTCTTTTACTCCTTCCTGAAATTAAAATGTAAATAAACACACTTTTTGTACTTTCTCTATGCATGAATGAATGAAGTGCTTGATATTCCATATTTATCACCGCGAGAGAAAAATGAAAACCGTAAAAGGACAGAGGCCAGTGGAAATCCGATAGCGACATGCCGCAAAAGCGATTAATTCATGAAATGAAATGAAATGAAATAATGAGTCATATATAATGCGTAATACTCCGTCATAATCCACTGTTCTGTACGCTGTAATAGCATAATCCGCGTTTAAAGCTCCTTTAATTCGTCAAAATAAACCTAACTTTCAATCATTTTCTCTCTCAAACATCATTATTATTCTTATTAAAAGGAGTGCTTTGGAGTTTGGAGTGTTGGGAAGAAATGCATCAAATTCATAGTAAGCTTTTGCTCTTTCAGCATTTCAGGAGCATTTAGCACAATTATAGCGTTAATCAGTTAATGTTAGGGTATCTCTGTTCATAAAATAAATTTTTTAGTATCAAGTTGGTAATGATATAGATTACTTCTGACACCATAATGGGATGAGATGAAATATAATATAATTGTTGATTTCTGAAAAAATTATATTTAAAATATATTTTATTTAGAAAATAAAGAAAAAAATATGTAAAAATAGTTAAAACGTCTAATACATTAACATCAACCAACATAGCCAGAAAAGCAATTTCAATCTTATTTTTATATTATTACGCAATTCAGCGCATGAAATCAAAAGTTACATGTTTGGTGAAAAAAAAAATTGATAAGCCTGATAAGCCGGGTTGCCAAAGATACTCTTCATAAATCTGTAGAATCAGTCAATTCGGCCTGAATTTCATTAATTTTAGAACAATCGTTAGATTTGGATGATTTTGATATTACCGAATTTCATTAATTTGAGAACAATCACGTCAATCAGCATATTTGATACAAATGATGCATAATTAATGTTAAATGTTTGCGTTTGGTGAATTCAAAATTTTAATGGTTAGAATAGTTTAATTCATTAATGCATGAGTGCAAGGTAGACATGTTTTCGTTCTTCTTTATGAGCTAGATTTAGAGCCGGTTTGGTAATCCTGTTTTTCGGCTTATTAGGTTTTTCCGCCAACTTTTTCACCAAACACGTAATTTTTTATTTCGCGCGATGAATTGTGTAATAATGAGAAAAAGTAAGGTTGAAGTTACTTTTCTGACTATATTGACTGAAGTTACTGTAGATGACTATTTTATCTATTTTTACGTATAAGTTTTTTTATTACTAAAGCATATTTTAAAGTTTTTTTATAAATCAGGAGAATCAACCATAATTTCATAAATTTTAGCAAAATCCGCCGATTCAGCCGATTTTGGTATTACCAAAAAACTCATAATATTAGCGTGGAATTCAATTGTAGTTATTTGTTTGTTTGTCACTTTTCTAAGCAACCATTTTATGGCAAGAGATGCGTTAATAGTTGGCTAGTTGCTATTTAAAATCTTTAGATTGATTTCTAACCAATTTAATATTTTGCTTATTTACTTTAGAAATTCTTGGAAATATTTAATCAAGGCATTTTCTCTAAATAGAAGTGTTAAAATTTTTCTCAAAATATGAGTCAAGTATGAGTTCATATATCGTACCGTCGACTGTATGGCTTACATTGTAAAGTCGATGACATTTTCGTAATTTTTGTGAAAATTGCGATTTTTTTTAAATGAGAATTAATTCATTTTTAGTGAGTATCAGACTTATTCTTTTGAGTATTAGGAGTCTAATATTTAGCATCGTGATCTCTAGTTCTCTACCTCATATCTTCTAATTCATTTTTTTTTAATTTTTTCTTTTATAAAAATTCTTAAATTATATCTATAATCAAGTCTAATGAATTTCAATATGCGAACCTAATGTAACATGATACTTTTGAAATATGCGTTGATTATACATTTTAAAATGAGCATATGTAACTTACAAAATGAGCATTGATATGAAAATCGTAAGCTTTGTTTGTTGAGTATCACGACATTTTCATAGAATATCAACTCTCCTCTACTGAGCATTAGAAGCATGCAACTAAATATCGTAATCTATGCTCCTAGTACTAAATTAGCATACGTAACTTACAAAATGGGTATTAAAAATTCAAAAGCTCATTTGAAACGTGTAGTGTGCTCAAATATACACTTGCATATGTTCATTTCTTTAAGCCTTGTATGCATTGAGTATGACATACGTAACAATTTATTGTGGTTGTTTTTCATCAGCTTAAGTGTGGATTCTGAAACCAAAATAGCTTGTGAAGTTTCGGTGAGCACACCGCCATCGGGACGAGGTTGGATTATTGATTATTGTCTGCTCATGTTCCAAGCTTAATATTGTGTTGCAACATTGAGGGTTACTGAAGAAGACGAGCGGAATACTTCTCTTTGGATGTCTGGTTGGATTCTACCGCCATGGGACTTGGTTTGTCGTCCGCTCTTGCTTCGTGAATACGCCGATGAACATTGGGCCTGGCAACGAACCTATACGTGTCGAGTAGTGAGTCATGTTGATAAACAACCGGGTCCAACAGTGTGGCGGAATAAAATTAGGGTTGGGCTGCTGAATATTACGGGTCAAGTATTCAAGATACAACTGGTTGTGGTATACAATTTGCGGTCAAGTGTTGTCATTCTAAAACTATATTGCCATATTATGACTTATCGAGATTTATATGCATTGATATAACACTGCATTATTAATTAGTACTCCCTCCGTCCCGAAAAGGTTGGCCAAATTTCCTTTTTTGGATGTCCCAAAAAGATTTGTCATTTCCATTTAAAGTAAGAAATATGTGATTAAAGTTAATTCTCTCTCCTATGCACAAATTTCAACCACATAGTTTTTACTTTGTTAATCCACGTGAAAGTTAACTTTGGTCAATCTTTTCGGGACAGAGGGAGTATCATAATACGATAATATAGTTTGATGATGGCATTACGTATTCCTATTTGGAATATATTGTATATATATTTAAAGAAACTCCTTGTTTGTACTTCTATTTTGAACAACTTCTTTAAATAACATTGATATGAAAATGACACTAATATTACCTATGGGTTCGTCATGCATGGAAAAATATAAGACTTTTTAAATTTTGACAAAAGGAGACCATAGTGGAATTTGAATGGCTGAAATGTCCTTCTGTGAGTTTCAAAATTTAATCTTGGTCTGCTTTCACTTTGCCGTTCAGCCATCTCCTTCGTCATCCATTGCCTCCAAGTCCACTCTGATTTTCCATTGTCGCCCACCAATCTTATTGGCTTCCATTGACACTTATGACTCTGATTTCCATTACAGTGTCGCCATTGTCGCTACCAACCCATGTCGTTGTCATATAGGTTTGCCTTCGCCGTGTCCAGGTACGCCATCGTCCAAGTTATTCTTCTTCTCTCTCTTTCTTCTTCTCATTCATCGATCACCCGTTTGGTCTGATTTGCAATGGCGAGGGCTAGCAATGGTAGTGATAGGTAAAATGCAGCATCTGGGGTTTGTCGGATAGGGGTAAACACGAACGGCGATGATGAGATAACACGGTGGTGGGATACAGCAGTTGGAGGGGCTAGGGGTGGGGTGTGAGGGCGTGGCAGCATTGTGCAGGGGTTTGGGAATTGAAGGGGTTTGGGGGGGGGGGGGGGGGGCTGGGAGGAATAATGTAGGGCCGTTGGTTGTCATTGGAAGGGCAGGGTGTAGTGTTGGTTATGAGTTGGGATGGTCGCAAGTTGCAACTGTAACTGCCGATGGTGATCACTTTTGTTGGCAATGGTCAAGTTGGCTAGTAGTGGTCACTATCGTCGGTGGTGGTCACTAATGGCGGCGATCACCGGCGTGGCAGCCACTGGTCGGCAGTGGTCATTGGTGGCACGAGTTGCTCTAATTATCAATGGCTCTAGTGGTCATGTAGATGTGTGAGAGAGGGGTATAAAAGTTCTCAAAGTCGCTTTATTGAAAATTGTAAGAGGACTCCTTTTTTTTCAATGACTCTTCTTTCAGTGATATTTATGTCAAACCATCATTCTTATCTCATATATTTATAAATAGAGCGATTTTACTCAATAGAATTATTTCTT